TTTTTTTTCTGCTTTGTCAGAACGTCATCATATGGGTGTGGGTGTGGGTATATTGTTGACTTAACGTACGCGCACATCCACATCCCACCACACACCCACACCCACACTTTCAACATCACAGTATTAAAATCCGAAGTCCTCGTCAAAACCTTCGTAAATATTAGAAAAATAAAACTCATATGAACAAAAAAGAATTGGTTGAAACGAAATGAACCATATCCCAGCACAATTAGTAAATGTAAAGGTCATGTACATGAAATTACCATCGTAATGATACCAATCAACTTGACCAACGAATCGCGACTATGTTGTTTCCTTTGAGTTTCTTTTCACTACCATTGACTCGACTTGGAGTTCTGTCTTTTGACATATAAAAGCTTCTATTAAACTCCTCAATTCAGAATCGGACGCATGCATCTCTAATAATCCATTACTATCATAGATTCGAAGAGTGTTACCAACGACTGTCACAGCAATTCCTTGATATAATGCATAATGGACGACAAATGGAATCCAAGTAACATTTTTTGAATCCAAGAAAATCTTTAACAAGTGATCCGAAGGCATCGCTGTCCACCAATCTTTATACCATCTATTGAGACATGAAAATAATCTCGACACTATGTCTGACTCTAACTCTTTCATTCCATCATACGAACAGATAGCACGCTTGAAAGTCTCGTGAACTTCCTCATTCCAGAATCCTCACTCAGACATATATGCGTCCACCAGAGCAGCAATCACTTTCTTCGTAGTTGTTTTTTCACCCAATTTCCACAGAGCTTCATACGCATATCTTCTCCATACCGACTCTCGACTTTGAAGTGCATTTACGAGAGCACTGAACACTTCCTCTGTTGTTGCTTTTTCACCCATCATCCCAAGGGCTTCACACACGTGCCCTCGGCTAAACGAATCTTTTTCACCGAGTGCATTCAAAAGATTCACGATCACCGCATCCGTCGCTGCCTTCTCACCCATCATCCCAAGAGCTTCAAACACATCCGATTGGAGATAAGAATATTTATCTTTCAGTACATTCAACAGAGCATCGATCACCTCATTCCTCGCTGCTTTTTCGCCCATGTATCCCAAGGCTTTACATGCATATCTTCGAACATTGCTACCATCACTCTGAATTGCCTTCAGCAGAACAGTGATTACCTGTTTCGTTGCTGTTTTTCCACCTAGCTTACCAATGGCTTCATAGGCGTATTCTTGTACATACCAGTCTTCATCTTGAAGTACATTCATTAGAGCTATGATCACCTCATTAGTTGCTGCCTTTTCACCTAGCTTCCCCAAGGCTTCACACGCGTATCTTCGGACGTTCGAATCTTTGTCCTGAATTGCATTCAGCAAAGCAGCGATGACCTTATTCGTTCCGGCTTTATCACTCATCTTGCCGAGAGCTTGACAAGCACGCCCTCGAATACCAGGGTCACTATCGTCAAGTACATTTAGAATTGCAGCTATTATGTCATTGGTTGTTGCTTTTACATGCATCTTCTCGAGAGCTTTAGATGCACTTTGTGAGATCATACAGTGCATTCAACAGAGCACTGATCATTTCATCTGTTGCTGCTTTTTTGCCTATCTTTCCCAGTGCTGTACAAGCGTTACTTCGAACATTCCAATCTTCATCTCGAAGTGCCTTTAGAAGAGCAGTAATCACCTCGTTGGTTGCCGCTTTTTCATGCATCTTCCCAAGGCCAAAACATGCTCTCCATCGGATAGCTGAATCTTTATCCTGAAGTGTATCCACAAGAGCAACTATAACATCACGCGTTGCTGCTTTCTCACCCATGTCTATGAGAGCTTCACACGCGGCATATCTGACATTCCCATTGTCGTCTCGAAGAGCCTTTGATAGAGTAGTAATCACATCATCCGTTGTTATTTTCTCATGCAGCTTCCCCAGGATTTCACACGCGTATGCTCGGACACCAGAATCTGCATCTTGGAGAACATTTAGCAGAGCACCAATCAACTTATTGGTTACAACTCTTTCACCCATCTCCATCAGAGCACTTCGCACGTTTATTTCTTTATCCCGAAGTGCATTCACCAGCGCATTGATTATTTCATTGGTTGCTACTTTTCCACCCACCTTCGCCAGGATTTCACATGAATATTCTCGAGCAAAGTGATTTCCTTCATGCAGTATCTTGATCAGAGCATCGACCAACTCATTTGTTGTTGCTTTTTCAGCTATCTTCCTCAGGGAATCATATGCATTACTTTGAATGCCTCATTATTCGTCTTGCAATGCAGTCAGCAATGCAGTAGTCACTTCCTTCGTTGCTGCTTTTACACCTATCGCCCCGAAGACTTTATATGCAGTGCATCGGACACTAAACTCGTCATCATGAAGTGCATTCAGCAAAGCAGCAATTACGCGATCCGATGCTACTTTTTCACCTAGCTTCCCCAAGACTTCACATGAACATCTTCGGACATTTGAATTTTCATCGTTAAGTACATTCAGGAGAGCAGAAAACACTTCATTGATTATTACTTTTTCACCCATGTTTCCGAAAACTTCACATGCCCGATATCTAACACCCCAATTTTCATCTTGAAGTGCATTCAGCAAAGCAGCGATCACCCCGTCGGTTGCGGCATTTTCACCTATATCACGAAGAGCTTCACATGCCTTTTCTCGAACATTCGCAACTCGATGTTGGATTGCATTCAACAAAACAGCAAGTATTTCAGTCGTTGCTGATCTTTCACTGAGCTTCCAGATGGCTTTACATGCGCAGTATTGGAAATCATCTGAAGTAATTCACGAATGGGGTTCGTTATTGGTATTTGTGATATAAGATCGTAGGTGTTACGTTTTGTTTGTATATCTTTTAGTGTGAGAAATTCTATCAATTTGTTTTGTATGATTGACGTGTTGACTGTAGAATTGGCACGTCCGAGTGATCGCAAAAGAGTTTCTCGAATTGGTGTTGCAGTTTCACTGGTGCTGATAGCTATCCACTGGGATATTGATTTTAAATAACTCGTTCGTGCTGAAAATAATCTTGTATCTATGAGTTGATCGATGCATTCAATAGTAAGTGTTATGTGCTTAAGGCCGACCAGATCTGATGGTTCTCCTTGTAGAGTATTCCAAAATACTTCCATAGATGATTGAAAATCTGCTTCTGCGAGAAGACCTGATGCAAAAACAAAGACAAAGTGAAAACGTTGATTGTACTTGTGAATGTTAATAAAATCAATTGCTTTTTGCTTTGTAGAATTCTTAAGAATTTTGAGTAAGTGACGTGCTGCAAAATATTCTTGGAAACTGAGATGAACAAAATAATGCTGTTTGTTTGTTTCGATTCGGTGCCCAATTGGTTTATCATCATATGATCTGAGAATGCCCATATTCAATAACTGTGGGTAATCACCTAGAGAGCAATCCATTTCGTATTCAGTTGCTTCGATAAGTTCTGGTGGCAGCATAATTTCCTTTCGTTCCATTCCATTGAAAGCCAAGTGTTCCAAAAACTGTAACTCCGTACTGCATTTTCGATAAAGAATTTGTTTTGTCATAAGTTCATGATTTATATTTTGTCTTTTCAAGTAACATCGGCATAGCCATTCGACGATTGTAGAGTACAATTGCGTCATTGTTACAACTGTCATCTTCGACGCGCTATAGTCACTCCAAAGACTACATATCAATTCTAGATTCACTGGTATATGGGCAATACCCCAGACATTAGGATTTGACTTTAAGAATTTCAAAAGCTTTCGACCATTGGATAAGGCATTTGTTGACTCAGTCTTGATCTGGTCGAAAAATTGTTCAATGTATTTGACAATATTTTCATTTGTAAAACCAGTTATTTCCATTTTGGTATCATATGATAATGCAATTGCATAAGGACGAGATGTTAAAATATGATGTTGTGTCTCACATATATGTTTAAATACACTTTTTAATTGTTCAGGAATATTTTGAGCAAATTCATCATAACCATCTAATATCCAAAGGACGTGCTCTCTATTACATTTATCGTTGAAGTTTTGTTTTATTTCAGTGGATATATCATCAACTTCGAAATATTCTCTCTCCACAAGATCAATGGGTGAATACTTTTTCCCTGATGGATACTGACCATCTGTCAATGAACGTAATCGAATCAAAATAACAAGTTCGTATTGAGACCAAATTTCACCTTTTGCCCATCGATAAGTAACATATTGGCAAAATGTCGATTTTCCAATACCAGCTCGTCCAAGCATGAGTACCTTCTTTATTTGATCCTTGCATTGTTCGAAAATATCCTTGACATCAATAGTAGTCTTCTTGCCGTATATCTCTTCAAAAGTACCAAGAATATCATTGTGTTGATGTGATCCGCGATCACTCTGTTCATCTTCTCGGCTGAACTGATCCTCATTGTTATATTGTTTTAATCTTTTCTCTTTTTCTTGTTGATCCTTAGTTTCTACTAAAGCCAAATTTATGTAACTCTGTTCCATCGGAAATTCTTTTTGATCGTTTATCATTAGTTGGATCTTATTTTCTTTGAGATATTTTTGTCGAATGGGATCCCACGGTCGTATTGGTAATGGAATAGAATTTGGTGTATATATTGGAGATTGATGCTTGATTCTTTCAATGAGTTCTTTTGTTTTTAATTGAATATTGGCGTCTGAATCGTCTCGAAAATTCACATAGTTCTCTGATAATGTTAGAAGTCCTAACCAACTCGAAGGTCGCCATTCCTTATTATTTTTATCACCAATCATACATGGAATGATTCTTAATTGTTTTTTCTTTGCTAGTTCATTAGCGTATCCTAATTCAAGTTGACAATTATGCGATTCCTGGTAAGTCGGTGTCATAAAACAACAAACAACAGCAGCTTTTTCTACTCCTTCTGCCATACTAATCCAAAATAGGAATGTCATTTTTTAAATCTAAGAGAGAGGAACTTTATCAACAGCCTTACCTAATGTTTATGTTATCTCCCATACCACCTTTTATATCCATCCAAACTTTTATACCTGATTCAACTAGAATATCGTAAACTTTCGATACAACAGCTTTGCTACCCCAATTATATGAGAGCATAACGTGTTTTTCCTCTGCGAGTGCCATTGATAAGTATGAGAAATAGCCACAGTTTTAATCTTCAATCTAATTCTTTTGTCTACAAAATGAAAACAACACTTCTAATTGTTTTTTTAAATATGTTTTTGTTCCGATTACAAAACCATTTTTCTAATTCATATAGTACAGTAGCGTACCTTTATACCTACGAAAGATTTGTTCAGACAAAGTTCAGCGCTTTATTGCCAACTTCATCACTAGGATAACTCATCAAAATAATCTTAAGCATCTCAATAAAACTGCATCAGAAAAACGTTGATTCACAGTTCACAAAAATAAATTTGTACTTATTCCATTGCTAATATACTTACAGTGAATTCTTGAAGCTAATATGAAAATAAAAATCGTTTATCGCGTTTCTCCGCAAATATTCATCATCATTACTACCTTGTTTTACGTTTTCTAACGATGATTTCTTTTTCACGAGCGATTATCAGTTGAAGAAAAGAGAACTGCTCTATACAACTCGACACTTATACCAGGTAAAGTATATCTCTACTCAAGGTTAAGGACGTTTACGTCTACTTTTTATTTCGTAACAAGAAAGACGTTGTCAAATAAAGCAAAGGACAATATGCCGTCTCATCTGTTAGAAAAACTATATATGAAGGTTTTGCGTTCTTATCGTTTGGACAACATTCATTTGAAAGTTTTAATACGACAACTCTCACCAATGATTGAATAGCAGTGCCTTTTTTGTAATATTATATGTAAAAAGATTATGAATTCATGCTCATACTTTTATCTCTAGTTTGAAAATCACAAAATAGACAAAAAATAATAATCTTCACAAAAGTCATGTTCTTCGTGTTAGTGATTAGTGTTACTACTCAAGTGTGTACACCAAATAAAGAGTATGAAATCTATAACACATCATAACAAAAAAGGCCTATATTTGTCATTCACAAATGAATATTTAATAAAAGATCTTCCAAGCATCATGTGTAAAGAAATGCTGTAGAAAACTATCTTGAAGGTGTGAAGGTGGGTGGTGGCATACAGAAGACTCACACACACCCACACCCTAAGAGTTTTAAGCATGACGACTTTTGCATCGTTTCGATCAACACGCTTTTTTCACAGTACATACATAGAAATCTTTATCTTTAAAACTCTTATATCTCGGTCAAAACATTTTGAAAAACAGAATCTGTTGAAGATTGTGATAGTCTAGTAATGATCTACCTTTGCACAAAATATGAGCTTTAAACATTGTAATAACATGGGTGATTCACCTCTTCCTTGGATGTTTCTTGAAAATGGCCCGAAGCTACAGTATTTCAAACAGATGTCACAAAATTTTTTCAGCCAAAGTTATATTCTATCCATTATACGTCTAATTAGCACAAAAAAATTGATAAAAAACATTTTTTCCAGAAAAATGGTTGGATTCCATCTATTGATATTATGTAATATTCTTACAATTGCACACTTATGTAGCTTTTTTTTTTAAAAAGAAACTATTAATGTTCATGTTGCTTTAATTTTTTCATTATAAACACTGTTGCTTTTAGGCTAGATGAATGAGTATTCCTTGGGAGGAGTGATTGTGGAAATATCTTAATTGAATTATGTATATTTTTTTTTCTCGTATCCAAGTATGGCCATGTTAATGTTCCTGTCCTCTAAGATGATGTTTCGTAAGTTCTAATTTTCTGATTGGTGAGTTGTCGACTAATCTCAATTCAAGATCGCATAATTCTATTTTAGTACTGACTCAAATCTCAGCAAAAGATAATCGTAATTTTGACGAGAGAATTGAAGAATATGAACTCTTTTCAGGTTTTTTCCGAGTTCCATCAAGATCGTCTTTTATTTATAAAATGAAGTCGTCATTTTTAATGCATTGGAAGTCGTTTTCGGTAAAATCATATATTGATTGTTAGAGTTATGTAACAGATCTTAATATTCCGAGTAATCTCTTACGTTGATTTATTAACTTCTAATTAATAGAACATTAATTTTTAGATTTAATTCAATAGATCTATAGATTATATTTATATTGAATTCTTAAGTTTTCAAATGATATATTGTATTTAATCAATGATAATAAATTGAATCAAATTAAAAGTTTTTGTTTTATGATAATCTGTCTATCACTTCTATTGATATTTGAACTAATTTAAAATAAATATAACTATTTTAGCTCATTTCAACTTTTATTTGAGATAGAAAGTTCGTTTATCTTTTAACAAAACACATATCTATTTTTAGTATGTAACACAGTCGACCTTTTTTTTTTATTACGGAGAAATTTATATTAATAATACTCTTTCTTTCTTTCTTTCTTTTCTTTTCTTTTTCCTTCTTCTTTCGATATTCGCGTAATGATGATGAAGCAAAAACCAAATACATATTAATACGTGTACCACGTTTTTTTCTCTTTCTTTGACTATTTAATCTGCGTACTAATAACATTTATGTCAACATACAAACTTTATTATTTTACTAGTCGTGGTCGTGCTGAAGTATCTCGTTTAATATTTGCTGCAGCTAGCCAAAAATATGAAGATATTCGTTACGAAATTGATGAATGGCCATCACATAAAGCTGAAATGCCATTAGGTCAAATGCCTGTTCTTGAATTTAATGGTACAAAATTACCACAATCAAAATCTATTGCTCGTTTTCTTGCTAAACAATTTCAATTAGCTGGTAGAGATAATTTTGAACAAGCCAAAGTTGATGCTGTTGGTGATACAATCGAAGATTTACTAACAAAATTAACACCAGTTTTCTACGAACAAGATGAAAGTAAAAAAGAAGAACTTCGTAAAAAATATTTTGGTGAAGAACTTCCTAAACATTTACAAAATCTCGATGTTTTACTTAAAGATTTTGGTAATGGTGGTCCATTCTTTGTTGGTAATCATTTAACATGGGCAGATTTACTTTTTTATGACTTATTTGAAACCATTCTTGCAATGAATGAAAATTGTTTAGAGAATTATCCACGATTAAAACAAAATCGAGAAGAAGTTGAAAAACAACCAAAAATTGCAGAATATCTTAAGAATCGACCTAAAACACAATTTTAAAGAAATATTATTTTAGAAAAATATATAATTAAAACACAAGTTGAATGAGTCTGTTTTCTATCTTAGTTTATTTTATGTCAAGTTTCAAATATTTTCGAATTTATGTATCTATCATTTTAATCTATTTATTCAATAAATTAGGATAACACAACAAAAAAAATCACTTAACATATCTGTTCAATTAGATTTATTTGATAGAGATACAGTTTTTTGTTTTGTATAAAAATTTCTAAGAACATTTTGATTATCTAATGTTTTTCTATTGATAAAAAGAATTTCAATTGAAACGAAGACAAACTTTTAGATTATGGCTCGTGTTTTAATACTAAACATACGTACACTTTAAAGTATAGAAATATCTAATTTAAATGATTAGAAACATAAATTCATCTTCAGGTCCTTTGTCTGCTATACCTTGTTTTTAACCTTTCACTACTTCTTGTAGATATTCATGCAACGCTGATGCATAGTAACGAGATAAAGAAAAAAAAAGACTTACATACATGTAATGTTTCCTCTTCTTACATAAAAATAGCTCTATTTAGATGTGACTTATTTATTTATCAATTCATTCTACATACAAACTTTGTGGTTGTGTAGAAATATTTTGTTTAATTTTTATATTAAATAATTACAATCGATATTTATTGCTCGTTTTCTTATTAAATAATATTGAAAAATCCCAAGTCCATTCTTGAATTGGCACGATATTTGTATCTATCACACTCCTAGTTTTTTCTAAATATTTCGATAAATAAAATGATATTGATGATTTGTTAAAAATTTTTTTAGAAAAAAATAAAAGAATTATAAATTCATTTGATGATCAAATTAAAAGATCTTTGAATGAAGAATAGATGAATAAATGTTTATTTTAACAGATTGAGGAGAAAATTATTCAATAGTACCAGTTAAAAGGAATCGAAATAATATTGTTTCAAATGCATACGTTTCAGAAGGAATTTCTAAAAAGAAATGTTTTTATTTTTTTTCTTTGACAGATTCAATTTGATGAATAAATTTTAAACAAGAATTTATTCTTAATGACAATTTTGGGAAATATTTTGATTGATAATTATCAACAAATCGAAGAATATCTTCAATAATTTTTTATTTCTTCTTCTCTAATACGTATTTTAGCTTGTTTTTTTGTATTCGAAGTTGAAAAAACTTTTTTATTTGAAATTTTCTATTATTTGATTATCATTTGATGAATTAAGCAATTCATGCAGTTCGGCAGAACTATATTAGCATGTCTAATATAAGTTTATTTTAAACTCCTCTAAAACTCGATAATTTTCCGAATCAACATATCATATTGTAGAGAATGCACTACTTTCTCAGTGTGATAGTACTGAATCAAAAAAAAACTACTTGTCAGTTTTTGATCTCTAGAGCACTATGATAGTTTCTCCGAAAGTTGTCAGATAACTTCAAAACTCTGATTTATAAATTTTTAAGCTGATGAAATCAAGTCCATTGTGCTCCTATTCTGTGGAGAAGTTTATAGAAAAATGGTACATAGAGATATTTAACAATTCAAAACTCATTCATAAAACTCCAATATTTATTACAAAAACACATATGGCAACAAAAGTAAAAATTTCATTTTTATTTTTATTATTATTTATAAATTCAAATTAATAACACAAGGAAATTATTGAAACATTGTGCAAGACGTAAATATGAATTAAATTCTCTTGAAAGACTTCTTAATGAAAATGTTTTACACAAGGACATATTCAACTGATGAAAATGCTTACTGTATGCTAGTTGTTCTTTCGAGTCGAGTATAAATTTATCTTTTTTATTTAGATAAAAATGTTTTATTTAAATGATTATTTTAGCTACCACCATTATGACGTAAGAGATCAAATCGTAGAAATAATAATGTCAGAAAAAGAACCTGCTTCGTTATTAGTTTGTGCATTTTTTTTTTGGTCTATTTTGTCGATGTTTTATTCAGAAAGTAAGCAATAAATATGAAAATTATCAAAATTCGAATTTTAATACGTAAGAATTATTTATTAATATTAATTTTATATTTAATTAATAAAGAATTCTTTCAATCTTATAAAACAGATCGATCTATATAAAAACTTGAAAAATTTAATTTTTTAGTGTTAAATCATGTCATATTTTTTCGAAATTACCAAATTATTACATAATTTATCTATCATATAACAAAAAATTAAAATAAAACTATTGAAGATATAGATGATCTTTTACAAATAAATATCTTGATTTTTCATAGATTTTTAATTAAATATTTTATTTAAAAATAGCATTATTTTCTTTTTTCAATTGATGTATATAAATATGAGTTGATGTTTTAAATCTTTTGATTTATTGTTGTTTTTAAACAAAATTAATTCTAAAAGTTGTGATGAAAATTTTTTCTTTTAAATACGATGGTAATGTCATCAATGATGATTGGAGAGCATAGATTCCTTTCACATGACGAAATCAAAGGTATGGAGGGAGTATTGAATACATAGTTCAAAGAGACCATAATGCGTTTCGACTGAAAAATACGTATTTACAAGGGATAGAATAATGAATTTTAGTAATGAATAATTCTCCGTTTTTCTAGTCTCCCATTTCAGTTTGAAATTGGATTGTTTTTCTGTATGCTCAGATTGAAATCAAATAGACCACTGGTACTCAAATTAGGCGCATAAGTCGGCATTTTCAGAAGACGAACTGTCCGTGTTTCTGTAAAATTTATCGTCGATACAGCTTTTTCTTGAGGCATCTTACAATACCAATGTCAAGTGTTATTGAGTGCTATTGATATTGATCGGTATTGGTTCAGCAAGAGGCAATTTATTCTAAGAAAATATCGATTTTTTAAATAAAAGTTGATTAAAAGTTCTCGAGATCAAAGAATCTGTTGGAATCATCAGCTTTCGAAAATTTTGAAGTCTGTTGCTCCCAATCAGTTTCTCGACTCCGAGAACTTTTAGGCAAATTTTATAAAAAATCGTTATTTTCTCAAAATAAGCTGCTCCTCGTTGAATCAATACCTTAATACTGTACTGGTATTGTCACACATTCAGTAAAGAAAATGATGAACGATAATCACTATTTCATTATTTTAAAACTTCTTATGCTGTTAATTTATCTAGAACAATTAGAAAATGTCTTAAAATTTGAGTGCATATGATGATATAAAGTTTTTCATTTACTTAATTTTGAATTTTTAATCTTATTAATTTTTATTTCCATCAATAACTCTCTGATAGGAACAGAAATTAAAGTAATTTCAAACGAAATGATTTATTATCATAATAAATAAATATATAAAACTAATATTCAATCTTTAAAAGATAAACAATTGATCTGTATTTTTAGTTTTTGTTAGCACTAATTTTTCATAAAAATTTATCATTAAATACTTAAACTGACAGTAAGAAATTAATGTTTGAAATTTTGAATTTGTTTCTTTTGAATAACAAATCAAATTTTCCGATTCTATTATCTTTTTTATATATTTCAAGAAAAAAAACGAAGATTTTGTAAAAAAGTAAAAGATTCGTTTAGATTTGTTTTTTTTTGTTCATATGACAAGTCATTCAACTGATCAGAGAGTAAAAAAAAGAATTTATAAAAATGCAATACAATCTTTCGAGTAAATTTGATGTCATATATAAAATCATATCACACAAAACGACAACAAGAAAATTTTTTTTTAAAATTAAAATTGCAAGTTAGTATTTCTTTTGATATGATGAAAAGATATTTAATATTTGTATTATTAGACTTTCTTATTCAAATCATTGAGTTTCAATTAACAAGACAAAAAATTGAAACGAAAAAAAAAAAACTTTTTGTGGGAATATTTTCTCTCTTTATAACTGCCAAGATGTATATCTTTTTCGATAATAATGAATGAAATTTTATTGGAAAAAATATTTCCTAGATGTTTTTCGTTTTGTATAACTCGACCAAAAATTTTGGTCCAAAAAAAATGATTATTGAGTACTTTCAAAAATTTTTTTTAAGCAAGAAAAAGTAGTTTTAAATGAACTTATAGCCAAAATAGGTTTACATATTATTGTTGGAAACATTTTTTCTAATACACTCATATTCGTATACATCAATCATCAGCACAAATCAATTAAGATGTATCTTGATTCAACAACACAAAAGATAATCAAATTAATATAAGAATTAGTACTTGCTCGTTTATTATTTTTTTCAAAAGCGAATATCTATGATTATTTATTCATGGAAATAGTCGAGCAATACTTGTTTAGAATGTCAAATATTGTGTAGCTGGCTTATACTCAATTTTTTTGGGATCATCAAAGCAACACAAGTACTGACAGCACTTAGAATAATGGCAATGATCCCTAAAATAGAAGCTGCACCCAATGTTGTTTCACTACCAGGCGAGATCGTACTGAGACCCAATGAAATACCAAGAATTCCGCACATGATGGATGTAGCAGCAAAAGCTTTGCCAAACATGACAAATGTTGGATTACTTTTTTGTGCCATACCAACCTGCAGCAAAAATAGGGCACCAAATCCAGACAAAATGCAAGCTATAGTCATGAACGCTCGTGCCAGAATTAACTTTACACATTCACCCAGTTGCGATGAGGGCGCCCAAGAACATGTTAATGGCTGATTGGAACAAGTCCATGACCCAATATAACCGCAAAACTGCCACAAACCACTTTCTACTATCGTTGTGCCCAACTCTTTTATCACAACCCTAGAATGGATAGACAATTTATCAATAGTCTTGTTGGTTTTTTTTTCTTTTCGATAAAACGAGCACAGATAATGGCTTCAACAGAAAGAAGTTTTTGATCATCGATTTTCCGGATATCACATGAGACATACTCAGTCAAGTTACACACATTTGTATCGTTCATACCGATATAACTAATGACTAGGTCAGAATAAGTGGTCGTTGTAATATGGTTTTTAGCTTTTCAACTTCTCCGAAGAAATTAGTCATTTATTTCGCGACAGATCATATGCAAATG